CACGTGAGGACACACACTGGTGAAAAGCCATACAAGTGTGACGTATGTAATATGAGTTTTACTGAGAAAGGCCACCTTGTCAGGCACGTGAGGACACACACTGGTGAAAAGCCATACAAGTGTGACGTATGTAAAATGCGTTTTTCTCAGAAACCACATCTTGTTGCTCACATGAGGACACACACAGGAGAAAAGCCATACATTTGTGATGTGTGTAGCAAGGCTTTTAGTCAGAAGTCAAGTCTCACTAAACATAAAACAATTTGTATTTCTTTTTAAATCATAAAACATTGTAACCTATTAACTCATACTTTAGCAACGAGTGTAATAGATTATTGTTTTGTTTGTTGTGTAACGATTAAAACCGACGATCTACTGATTGAATCAACCCAGCACCACTTGTGTTTTGTTCCTCGCTCGTGCATGCCGGCTATGTGGCGGTCCTTGTACCTCAGGGACGCAGGTGTCTGACGCGTAACTCTTGTTGCAGGCGGCGAGCGCAGCTTCTCTAGTGGGACTTCCCTTGGGGAGGATCCTGGAGCTGTCACCGTCGACGAGGTCACCTAGCTTCACGAGGTCAAACGAGTGGACGAGCCACTGTGGCTAGTGGTGGTTGCGTGCTTCTCACTGCAGGACGAGCAGTGCCCCGCAGAGGACGGGGCCACGGAGGACAGACGCACAAAATGTACCACACTGGTAAAAAACCGTTCAGCTGTGACCACTGTGCAAGGCGTTTTACTAAGAAATGCAATCTTGTCGTTCACATGAGGACACACACTGGTGAAAAGCCATACAAGTGTGATGTATGTAAAATTTGTTTCACTCAGAAAGGTGATCGTGTGAAACACATGAGGACACACACCGGTGAAAAACCATGTAAGATCGCCGATTTCGAGCCAAGATTGATTAGATTAGATTAGATTAGATTATTTATTTCGATCTTTTGTATTGTATTGTAATTTATTCATTTGTATTTGTTTAATGTACAACGAATAAAAGAGATGGTTCGCTGAATTTGTCAACTCGACGACATTCTGTTTTTTTTCTCTCTTCGTGCATGTTGGCTGTGGAGCTTCTTGTACTTTGGCTACGCCATACCTTTGCTACGCACGCCTTGTACCTTGGTTACGCGGTGCTCTTGTTGCAGGGTGCGATTACAGCTCCTCGGTCAGCAGCGGAGCGTTCCGCGTGGAGGATGCTGCGGAGGTGTCCGTCGACGAGGGCCCCGAGCAGGCGTGGATTAAGGCCCGGCTGACAGGGGGGTGATGTGCAGTCGGTTGCCTACTTTAAGGGTTTTGAGGAGTTATTTGCCTACCTTTCAGGCGGATCTCAAGAGATCACAGCCCCTTTTTAAATCCGCGTCTGGCTCACAGCCCAACGAGCTGATACAGATGAGCAGCTTCTCTTGATTGCACTCCCACCCTTGTTCGGTCAAGTCTTCTCGTAGACCTCGACTTACGCCCCTTTCCGTTGCAGTTTTGCAGCCGTGACTCGGTTCTCGTGCTGCAAGCGACTCCCCTCCTTGATCAGCAGCGGGTGACCTCCAGCGTGGGTATCCTGGGACGGCCACTGCGTCGAGCTAAAGCAGGACGGGCAGCCGGCGGTGACGGCGTGCTCCTCTGCTGCTGAAGGTCCTATGAGGCCAGCAGGAGCCTCTGCTGCTGCTGGGGTGGAAGGGACGTCTCCGTGTCGCGCTGAAGTGAAGTGCTCCGGCTGAGACCCTCAGGAGAGCACCGCCTCCCGCTCGTCGCAATGCGTCGCGGCGGACGATGTTGTGGTCGCACGCGCATGCTGGTGGTCCTGGTGGTGGGGCGGACCTCACATGACGACGGCGGCGGTGTCTGACGCAGTGCTCTTGTTGCAGGCGGCGAGCGCAGCTCTTCCAGCAGGGCGTCCCTCGAGGAGGATCCTGGAGAGGTGTCCGTCGACGAGGGCCCCGAGCTGGACGAGCTCAAACAAGAGGACGGGCAGCTGGGGCTGGTGGTGACGCGGTGCTTCTCGCTGCGGGACGAGCAGTGCCCCGTGGAGGACGCGGCGAGGGGCGGCCCTGGGGACGGCGAGGTGCAGCCCGAGCAGCGCGACGAAGAAGTGGCGCCTCCTCCCGGCGACGCAACCAGGCTGGGTGGCTCTACCGTCCGGTGTGGAACCCGCGACGCTCAGCCGGTGCAGAACAACCAGCAGAACGACCAGAGGGCCTCGCGGGTGCTGCGGAAGAAGCAGCCTGGCCGGAAGTACACCGGCAGCGGGAGCGGAAGTAAAAGAAGTACCAGTGGCGCTCTGCAGGCGAACTCGCGCGGGCGCACCGGAGGGGCGTTCAAATGCGATGTCTGCGGAAAGGCTTTTGCACGAGAAGGTCACCTAGAGAGGCACAAAATGTACCACACTGGTGAAAAACCGTTTAGTTGTGACCTCTGTCCATCGCGTTTTACCGAGAATGGTCATCTTGCCAGGCACATGAGAACACACACTGGTGAAAAGCCATACACTTGTGACCTTTGTAAAATGCACTTTACTATTAAATGCCATCTTGTCGTTCACATGAGAACACACACTGGTGAAAAGCCATACAAGTGTGATGTGTGTAAAGTGTGTTTCTCTCAGAAAGGTAACCTTGTCGCTCACATGAGAACACACACCGGTGAAAAGCCATACAAGTGTGACGTATGTAAAAGGCGTTTTATTGAGAAAAGTCATCTTGCCGGGCACATGAGGACACACACTGGTGAGAAGCCATATGTATGTGATGTTTGTAAGAAGGACTTTAGGTTTAAAGGTAATTTAGAAAGGCACAATACAATTTGTTTTCCTTTTTAATTTCATTTCTTTGTAAGTCATTGTGTTTGTGAAGTCCAATTAGCCAGTTTTTTTCAGCAAAATTTGCAGTTAATTCGTACGTGTGTTTTTCTTACAATACGAATAAAAACAAGGGTGTACAGATTTAACCAACCCGATGACAGTTTTCTTTTGTTGTCCATTGCTTTTACATTCCGCCTGTGTGGCGGGCCTTGGTCTTTGGCGACACAGGTGTCTGGCGCGGTGCTCGCTCGCAGAGAGACGTCCCTGGGGAGGCCACCTCATCGCCAGCGGGACGGCCAGCTAGTGGCTACGACGTGCTCCTCTCTGTACTTGAGACGAGCTGTGAGTCCTAAGTTAACCTGGTCCCGTGGGGCCGGCGCGAGCTGCTGGTGCTGCGTCCCGGGGTCCCGGATGTGTCGAGGCTTCGTCCGCTGAAAGTGGCGCCGCACCGTGCTCGTCACGTCACAATGCGCCGCGGCGGCAGCTGGTCGTGTTGGGTGCCGTTCCCGAACCAGCGACACTTGTGTTGGGCTGGGTTAGCAGCGTCAGCATACTGACCTGACTCAAAATTCGTTTTTTTGTTTTTGTTTTGTTGCAGGCCAAGTTACGTTGTCGCTGACCCTTCACGCGTGCGGATGCGGGTGCTCCTGGTGATGGGGTGGACCTCTGGTGACGACGATGGCGGCGTCTGACGCGGTGCTCTTGTTGCAGGCGGCGAGCGCAGCTCTTGTAGCAGAGCGGGCCTCCCGGAGGATCCTGGAGAGGTGACGGTCGACGAGGGCCCCGAGCTGGGCGAGCTCAAACAGGATGACGAGCAGCTGGGGCTGGTGGTGACGGCGTGCTTCTCGCTGCAGGACGAGCAGTGCCCCGCGGAGGACGCGGCGAGGGGTGGCCCTGGGGACGGCGAGGTGCAGCCCGAGCAGCGCGACGAGGAAGTGGCGCCTCCTCCCGGCGACGCAACCAGGCAGGGCGGCTCTACCGTCCGGTGTGGAACCCGCGACGCTCAGCCGGCGCAGATCCAACAGCAGGACGACCAGAAGGCCTCGCGGGTGCTGCGGAAGAAGCAGCTCGGCCGGAAGTACACCGGCAGCGGCAGCGGAAGTAAAAGCAGTGCCAGCAGCGCTCTGCAGGCAAACTCACGCGGGTGCACCGGCGGGGCGTTCAAATGTGAAGTCTGCGGGAAGAGTTTTGCTTGGGCGAGTCATCTGAAGAGGCATAGAATGTCCCACACTGGTGAAAAACCATTTAGCTGTGAACTTTGTCCGATGCGTTTTACTGAGAAAGGTGATCTTGTTAAGCACGTGAGGACACACACTGGTGAAAAGCCATACAAATGTGACATATGCAAAATGCGTTTTACTCAGAAATGCACTCTTGTCGCACACTGGTGAAAAGCCATTCAAGTGTGACGTATGTAAAATAAGTTTTACTGAGAAAGGCACTCTTGCCAGGCACGTAAGAACACACACTGGTGAAAAGCCATTCAAGTGTGATGTGTGTAAAATGCGTTTCACTCAGAAATGGACCCTTGTCGCTTACTTAAGGACACACACTGGCGAAAAGCCGTATCACTGTAGTGGGTGCGATAAACGTTTCAGTGATAAATCCAACCTCAGAAGTCACAAAAGAACTTGCAGTTAGAGCTTTATTTTCGGTTTCAAATTTTGTGTGTGTTTATGTTTGTTTTTAGTTGTTCTTCGTTAACCGAATAGAATGGTCTTGACGCTGTCGACACCTACTTTTGATTCACCTTCACCCTTGTTTGGTTAACTGGTGCTTCCATAGCCATATTGATTTGCTCTGTCCAATACGTTTCACTGACAAAATCACTTTTGTCAATCACATAAGGACACACTATGTCAAGATACCATATATGTATGTGATGTGTGTAAGGAGGACTCTTAGTTTAAATTTGATTTGAATAAACATAAACAAGTTTGTATTTCTTTATAACTTTACTTCTTTTTAAATCTTGATTTTTGTATCCCTGCATTTAGCAGTTTTTCAGCAAAGTTTGTTGTTAATTTTTGCTTTTTTAACTGTAATATAAATAAATAAAATAATAGTCCACAGATTTCATCCACCCGACGACACGTCCATTTTGTTCCTTGCTCGTGCATGCCGGTTATGTGGTGGTGGCCCTTGGTTCTTGGCGGTGCAGGTGTCTGACGCGGTGCTCTTGTTGCAGGTGGTGATCCCAGCTCCTCGCTCAGCAGCTGGGCTCTCCTCGGGGAGGATCCTGGAGAGGTGTCCGTCGACGAGGGCCCCGAGCTGGACGAGCTGAAACAAGAGGACGGGCAGCTGGGGCTGGTGGTGACGGCGTGCTTCTCGCTAGAGGACGAGCAGTTCCCAGCGGAGGACGCGGCGAGGGGCGGCCCTGGGGACGGCGAGGTGCAGCCCGAGCAGCGCGACGAGGAAGTGGCGCCTCCTCCCGGCGACGCGACCAGGCAGGGCGGCTCTACCGTCCGCTGTGCAGCCCGCGACGCTCAGCCGGTGCATAACAAACAGCAGGACGACCAGAAGGCCTCGCGGGTGCTGCGGAAGAAGCAGCTCGGCCGGAAGTACACCGGCAGCGGGAGCGGAAGTAAAAGCAGTCCCAGTGGCGCTTTGCAGGCGAACTCGCGCGGATGCACCGGAAGGGCCTTCAAATGTGAAGTGTGCAGGAAGAGTTTTGGACGAGCAAGTCATCTAAAAACGCACAATATGTACCACAATGGTGAAAAACCATTTAGCTGTGACCTCTGTCCAATGCGTTTTACTCAGAAATGCAACCTTGGCGCTCATGAGGACACACACTGGTGAAAAGCCATTCAAGTGTGAACTGTGTAGAATGTGTTTTACTAATAGGAGTAACCTTGTCGTTCACATGAGGACACACACTGGTGAAAAGCCATTCAAGTGTGATGTGTGTAAACTCTGTTTCTCTCAGAAAAACACTCTTGTCGATCACGTGAGAACACACACTGGTGAAAAACCATACAAGTGTGATGTGTGTAAAATGCGTTTTACCCAGAAATGCACCCTTGGCGCTCACATGAGGACACACACTGGTGAAAAGCCCTTCAAGTGTGACGTATGTAATATGAGTTTTACTGAGAAAGGCCATCTCGTCAAGCACGTGAGGACACACACTGGTGAAAAGCCTTATCAATGTGGTGGGTGTAATAAACATTTTAGTGTTAAATCCAACCTCAATGCTCATAAAAGAACTTGTAAGCCTAGATCTTGACTTACGGTGTACAAACTGCTCGCGGTTTCTTTTTAATCTGTACTTTGTGTAATAAATAAAATATCTTGGAACGTGCCGACACCCACTGGTATTGCACTCCCACGCTTGTTATGTCAAGTTGTTCAAGGACGTCAACTCATGCCTAGAGGTGTGCGAACAGTTCGAATTCGAATCGAATCGAATCTGGGTAGATTCGATTCGATTACGAATTGAAGTGATTCGAATGCGAATCGATTCGGGGAAATTTAAGTGTCGAGTTCGAAATCGAACCGGCGCGGCAGTATTCTGGCAGTTTATTTGTATAAAACATATTTTCCTCCTCCAATTCCACCTGAGACTGTTCAAAAGGCATTAGAATTTGAAAGAGGAAAATTAAACCTGATTTATTAACCGTTTTAGACTTAATCCATATACATAAACACTCGAAACGTTTCATAAATACTAAAACTGCCGATTCGATTCGAGTCGAATTCGAATCAAACAAATTCGATTCGATTCGATTCGAGGTAAAAAAATGAGATTCGATTCGATTCGATTCGAGTTATTTTAAAGAAGATTCGATTCGATTCGATTCGACTTTGAAAAACCTCAGTTCGCACACCTCTACTCATGCCTCTTTCCGTTGCAGTTACTGTCGCAGCCGTGACGCGGCGCTCCTGCTGCATGCGATGCCCCTCCTCGTTCACCTCTGGTCAGGATCCTGTGGCGGTCACCGCGTCGTCTGAAGCAGGACGGTCAGCCGGTGGTGTCGGCGTGCCGCCGCTGAAGGTCCTATAAGGCCAGCAGGAGCCTCTGCTGCTGCTGGGGTCGCCGGGACGGCTTCGTATCGCGCTGAAGTGAGGTGCTCCGGCTGAGCCCATCAGGAGAGCACCTCCCCCTGCTCGTCGCAACACGCCTCGGCGGATGACGTTGGGGTCGCACGCGCATGCTGGTGGTCCTGGTGGTGGGGCGGAAATCACGTGACGACGACGGCGTCTGACGCGGTGCTCTTGTTGCAGGCGGCGAGCGCCACTGCTCTAGTGAGACGTCGGCTGATGGGGGTCCTGGAGAGGTGTCCGTCGACGAGGGCCCCGAGCTGGACGAGCTCAAACAAGAGGACGAGCAGCTGGGGCTGGTGGTGACGGCGTGCTTCTCGCTGCAGGACGAGCAGTGCCCCGCGGAGGAGGCGGCGAGGGGCGGCCCTGGGGACGGCGAGGTGCAGCCCGAGCAG